TGTTATTACTAACTTTTTAAAATTCCACGTTTGCACGTGGAATTTTAACTTAAGATATGCAAATAAAACATGTACAATATTAAAAATCGTAAGAAAAAAATGTATTATCAGAAAAGATATAAATGATATACGTACAGAGGAGAATTAAATTGGGATTTATGACAAAACAGACAGATTTGGAGAAAGAAAGTATGTCTATTAAAATGTTTGATGAGGTATTTTTATCGAACAGAGATCGTATCGAATTTCAAAACATCGATTTTACAACAAGCGCGCTTCCTCAGCTTTCGAATGCTGTCAAATGTTTTTATTTTGTTTTACGCGCCAAAGAATTCGAGTCATCGCGTCGAGCCGAAAATTCCGTCCCGGGTTTTGCGCCAGTCGTTGTTTCGACTGCCGCTGGCCGGACTCGACGGGCTGCGGCGCAATTAAATTAAATGCTTCGGATTAATTGTTCGAAAGCAGTTAAATTAGTTGCGTTTGTTTCGCCCGATTTTTGCGCAATCTCGCTGCGGAATGCGTGAGATGCACGCATCGGGGGAATTTCGTTACCCGCGGCCCCTCGCACGTTATATAGCTCGGTGCCCTGCGAAATCACCGCGATGCAAACGTATCAACGCGGAACGATGGCGTGCCCCGAAAAATTCATTTGCAAAAGCCGCATTCGACGCACCTCTGTCACACCGAGCGAAAGGAAATGCCGCGCGATCGACGCAACGCGCGCACATTTTGCCAGTACTCGATTAAAAGCTTAAACAGAGTCGACCCAATTATTAATGTAATACACAGCGGGTAATGCAAATTTCACAATTATAACAACGAATTTGATGTATAACATTGAATTTTAAAGTATCGTTGCCCAGAATTTAGACCGCTAAATGGGAAATTCATAAATCAATCTATATAAAATCTATAATATTTCTCCCTAGTTTCATATTTATTTTAAATACAATTTAGTATGTAAAATATATTTTTCTTGTATCGAATATTGCTGAGAACTGGACGAAAAAGAAAAGTAAAAGAAAAAAAAAAAAAAGAGAAAGAGAGAATATGAAGGCGCTCTCGCATTATCATTCCTATCTACGATACGGCTCGCAATTTTCCTCCGATATCGCGGCGAAGATTCCCATATTACCACGCATACCGGTAGCCACTGAAGACCACCCCAATGCCCCGTCTCGATGATATTTGGCCGGCCAATCCCCGTCGAGGATCGCTGCCCGGTATAGCCGCCGAACGGCCGAGAGCTGCATCCTAGAGTGCAGCTGCAGCGCCGGCGCGGACTCTTGAGCCGCATTGCTCGGATTCTGGCGAGGATGCGTCCAGGAGCGAGAGGCTGACGAGCTCGCAAGTAACGCGCCGGTAGAGACATGGTCAGACTGGCATCCGGCCGCAAGCTCTCGACCTCATCGCAACCATACACACACGCTGGCCCTCCCCTCGAAGCTGGTCCTCCACCCACGGCTTTCAAGCTAGTCCGCCCACCCACCCCTAGACGATCCTATACCTTCCTCCCTCGCGCCTACATCTCACCCCCACACACGTCACCCCCCCCCTCGTTCTCCCCTCGTTCCTGCGAGCGGGAACGTGCAACATGTCGAGACATTCGGGACACGAGATGGACCGAGGAGAGATATGCATCATTTGGTTACCCGACTAGGCCGACTGCGCGTCTCCGATCGGCGTGCCTACGGATGCATCCTCGATCGGATTGGCCCGGGCGATCGGTATGCGAAAGGGTCCTCCAGTCAAGATTTTCAGCATAACTGCGCGAGTATGCCGCCCGGATTCGGACTCCACGAGTCTGCGTTCCGATATGTCCGCCTATATCGGTGTGCGCCCGTATGCGCTCGTGTTCGTATGCACTTCGTTGCCGGAGAACGTTACACGTCGCCTGGTAACCGTAATAGCTGAAGAGTAATGAGGGCGTTAATACGAAATACCGTATCGATGCACTCGTATCGAACGATCGCATATCTCGTCTCTTGAGAGAATTGTCATATTTATTTTTAGCTTCTGTATTTATCGTAAATTCCAAGATTTTAACGCGAGACTAACCATCAAAAATCAATTCTCACACAATTTAACTTTCATCGATTAGACTTTTACGAGATAGACTTTTCGGTGGAATATTTATTATACATTCACATTTTCATTGGGCATTTGCCGCGCGAGATGTGTATATGTAAAATCGTCATTAACGTGAACTCACGTTTTTAGAAATGTCTGATGAGGCATTCCCCCGTCCGATGACTCTTGCCGATATTCCGAAGGAGCAACGATCTTTTCTTTTCTTTTTTTTTTTTTGTAAGAGCTCTAACGCCGAAATGCGATACTCGGACTGGTCGTTCGTCCGGTAGCGCATTCCTGACACCGAAATTGCATACCTCCGTGTACGCGCACATACGGGTTGGAAACAAACGAATAGGGTTGTTCGGGCGCCGTAAAGGGTCCGGTGGGACGAGGCGCGCGAGGAGACGCGGGAGCGGCCGTAGCTGGGGACTCGCGCAGGGGGTTGTAGGGAGCAAAACGGTGGTGGATGGTGGTGCCGGTGACTCGGTCGCACGAGAGAGCGAGGGGTTTGGGAACGTAATCGCTCTGGCCCCGCGCGCCTCGACGAACTGCCCCTCCATATGCGTTTCATCTCTCTCTCTCTCTCTCTCTCGTTCCACCCTTCCCACGCCTCCGCTATTTATTGCTCGCACTCGGCCGGTTCACAACATAAATATGTTACACCTATGGCCGCACCTATTGCACCGAGTCCGCGAATTCCTTCGCTGCCGGCCGTGCGAAGAAAGAACGTCCATGAACGTCGGGGATGGTGCGGCGCTTTTGGAAATAAATTGGCTCGTTCGCCATGCGCGTTATAGCGTTTGTGTGCACTTTGAAACAGAATAATGAATTTCAATTTTTCATTAATGGAATGGTTATTAGGTAATTTCATAAAAATATATAAAAC